TGTGTAAATAAGATGACGTGAGTATTTTTTTTTCACCTGGCTTCAGAGTTTCCGTCCTGTTAGGCTGCAGTACAGTTTTCCTTCTCTTTGAAATATGGAAGAGACCATCGAAGAACTGCCCAATTTTTCTATCGGCATCGACCTTTTAGGTCCTTATCCAACAAGCAACAAAAATAAAGCCGAAAAAAAAACTCGCAAGTTTCACGTTTCGCAAATTTGTCGGAGGACGAGTTGCAGCAAATTTTGGCCGAAAGACATTCACTGGGAACAAAAAAGTCACCAATTGGTCATTAATAACTTTAAAGGTAAAATTTCCGCTTGTATTGTTGTTTTTAAATTTGTTCAACCTGTGGAATAAAGTACACAGTTGTTAATTGGGAATTTACTAAAACCAAGACAATCACAATTGTAGTCTATCACAATAAAAGGCTTCTTCGCACAGATCCTTGTTGTCGCTCTGTTTGTTTTTAAAGAATTTGCTCATGCTTTTAGCTGTGCGTATATCGAGTTATGGATGCACTTGAGATAATAACGTAACGTCAGAAGACCGGTGTTCTACTAGTTTACTGTTATGTTTAGATCTAGATAGGAAGCGCCATAGTGTACTGCACCATTACCTAAAAATAACAATTTGGTCATCATCAACTATCTGTCGTGGTCTCCATTTAGGGCAGCAGAGGTTTCCATATGTCAGACACGTTCACCCAGACTGTAGGCGGTAGATATAATCCAATGATCAACAATCATTGTCAATATGTGTTTTGGCCTTCGACTTTACAAAATATTCATTTACTTTGGGTTTCCTCATTTCTTGTTTACAAAGCGTTATCTATCTAAAATGGAAATTTTAAGGAAATGTTCTACTTTAATTTTTTATAAGGAAGATACTTTTATCATTCTGTTTTGTGATCAGCATTTGTCATGTTCTGCTTGCATTTAAATACTATCCTGAATCAGGTGTAGTCTCCAGAATCACGTTTGAATCTAAACTATGATGGAACTTGTAAAATAACCATCGATGGCTATCTTAGATTAAAAATTTGAAATACGTCTTCGGGTCAGTGAAAATAACGAAACCTTTACATTTGGGGTTTTTAATTGACAAGGAAATTGGGGATTTAAGATCCAGGACTGTAAATATTATAAATGAATGGGGAGACCAGATATGGGAGTTTCGTCAGTTGGATTCGAAAAGACAGATCGGAAAAGCTAGATAAGATAAATTAACCACGGAAACATATTTTCCAAAATTCGGATCACAAGTCTTAACGAAAACTGTGTTACCACGCAATACATACCAAATAAAAAATGATAACTAATTGAACATTTCTCAGTTATCTTGAAAACTGATAAGTCTTTAAAAAATATCCACAGTGATGGCGTAGGCATTCTCACGTAAAAATAGTAGCATATAAAAAAGCAAATATATTTTCAGTAATTTGTATAAAAAAAAAAGGGTACGGTATGCTACCACGCAATCAAAACAAAGTAGGAAAAAAGATTAAAAATGAAACAATTTGAATTGAAGTAATTCGAAATTGAAACTAAAAATTTGAAAGAAAGATGTCATCAAGGTGTTTTGGTTGAATTTTATGCAGCGATCACCATGCTTGAATCTTTACGCATCGTGGATTCACTGGCCTCTCTTTTTAAAGTAAGAAACATTTCAAAAGTGCAAGCGAAATTAAAAACAGGTTTGTAAAAACATTATGAGTGGAAGACAGATTTTATATTGGTAATTTTTACCTATTTTTTTAGGATCGTATTTGTGTGATAATTATAACTATCCTGTCAATGTTGCCTCGTCAGCGCGTAGAAAGTGTCTCGAATCGGGAGATTGTTTAAGGCAAATGTTTTGATTTAGAAATATTTACTTTTTTTTCTCAAGTAATTACTTTCCGTGATTTTCCATCACTTGCCATTAAATGACAAGCCAGGTTTTTAAGAGAAGAAGACAATAGGATTGGTTCTGTACTGCATACAGTCGACTTTTCACTCTTTTGATCATACCGAGAAAAAAAACAAAACAAAACAAAACAAAACAAAAAAAAAAAAAAAAAAAAAACGGAAAACGTGACGAACTAAGGCTCGAGTCCTCACCTGGTTATAATATTATAATATTTCCTTGGCCCCGCCTGCGTGAAAAATGGCTTCAATCTTTTTCCAGAAACGTTTTTGACTGATCTATGCGTCCGATGCAGATGTTAGCAGACGTTATAATTTGCATATCTTGGGAAGAGAGGAAATAAATTTGTAGATGGTCGGTGCCAACAACAGCAATTCGTAATTTCAAGTTTTCCACATCTTCGTGGATGCGACGAAAGTTGTAGGAACAAAAACGTGCCACACGAAGCACGGCCTAGTGTGACGCTGTGAGTTACTACTGAAGAGACCCACAGCAATATTTCTTTGTTTAAATATTGATTATCGGGATGCAAACGAGGAGTCTGTCCTCCAGTTGAACATTAGTAAAAAATAATCCAAATGAGTGTGATTCATCTTGTTATACAAAGCTATGGCGGAGTTAGTATAACGAGTGTTTATCAGGTGTATAACTTAACAGAAAATGCTGTCAGACATAGAAGTCTTTTTCGTATTTTTGTTTTCTTTTGTACCTATGCCCTCTAGGAAAAGGTGGCCTCCCTGGCTTTACGAAACTGCTCGAGTTTATTAAAGAAAAGGAGATAAATGTTTTAGCAAAAAATTTCAAATTTCAGCTGTTTCTAGAAATCATTACGGAAGTGCTGGTTGATGGAGAAGTTAGGTAAAGTTTCTTTAAATCCGAGTCAATTTATGATAATGAAAGAAAATACCCCAATTTTTTTTTACTTGTTTCGCCATTTCTCTATCTGAAGTTGAGCAGCGTGAGGAAGTTTATAGGTATTACCAATCAAGCTTTCAGAGCAGGGAATGATTTTGTAAGTATCCGAAATCGGTCAGGTGTTCGGTCACACACACTTTAAGAGGTTGGCTTGCGGAATCTTAAGAGTTGGTTACATCACGTAAAACCTTTCCATATAAAAATTACAATTTGAAACTTTTTAATTTTGATGGTTTTATTAATTATTATCGGCTTAAAGCGTCTGAAAGTCGTGATAATAAAATTGTCTTTTATCTGTTTTTATTTTTTATTTTTTAGCATGAAAAGTAAGACACATGCATGCATTTGTTCGGAGCCAGTTGAGAAGTGATTTGGTCTCTGAAAAATTCAAGCACTTGACTTCTTGGAAAATTCAAATTTATTATCTACAGATAAACATTAACTGTAGGGAATTTTGGATCAAATGCATCTATTACTGAGGCATGACACAAAAAAGTTAACACGAGGACGTAAAGTGTGAAAAAAGTGGGATGACATCCCCGAATAATTTCCGACTCTATGGTTTTCCTTTGTTCTGAAAAACCAGAAGATTTGTCATTACAGACATAAATGCAATGTTTGTTTTTCCAAACCGATGTACATGAGAGTTGTAATCCTTTTAACCCTCCTAACTTGAATGTAGCTAGGTTAAAAATTGATCACATAGGCATGGTCGTTTGATACAAGCACTTTGATCGTCGCTTGATGCGAGCGCATTTCCTTCGCACGGTTCAACCGTACCTACAATTTCCAGGCATAAATTCATTGCTATAAGTTGCTATATAGACCTAAGACTGCAAATTAATCGACTATTCCTCGTTCTTTCATCCACTGCTAAGCCAACCCAGCCACCACATATATAGACCTAAGAGTAAACACGGACATCCATTATTCCTTGTTCTTTCATCCTCTGCCGAGTCAAACGAGCCACTAGTAAAACCACCAAAGACTTGACGCGTATGTTCATTATTCCTCATTCTTTCATCCACTGCCGAGCCAAACGAGCCTCTAGTTACACTCGACTCCCGTTATTGCGAAAAACCTCAGGGGGAGATTTTATGTTCGTAATAGCGAGAGTCAGTAATAGCGGGGTAATACAAGAGAAAATAAGTTATTTGGTCTCAAAACATATGAAATAATATGTAACTACGCAAGCATAAAGTTTCTAGCGTGGCATCACGAACCGGATAAAGATTCGGCCGCAAGCAGGAAATTCTCATGTTCGAAGCCAATTGTAGAATGGTTTCTGTATTTTCTCTTATCGTAGTATCGCTTTGCATTATGTGAGTCAGGATTTTGGACGAAGTATTTAGAGTATAGCGCGTCTGACTAGCAATTCCCGCGCGGCCTGGGTCCGAGTTTGAGTAATAATTTATTCATGCCATGTAGGTACACGTGTTAGGGTTATTAAATAATTATATTCATGACGTGTAGGTACACGAGGGTAAAAATTGATTAACTAATGAACGAGTGTCCAGATCGGCCATCTTTGTTATTGCAAATAAAGGTCGGTTTGATATATATATGGAACGGTAGCGTAAAATTCATCCATGTGGGATACCTATTTGTGTGATGCGCATGTGCACTCTTCTGATTAAAAATGTACGCATGCGCAATGCTTTAGAGCCAGTCCCTATGTGGTATGAATGTCACGAAATGTCCTATGGCTGGTACTTATGTGGTGTAAGACGTCACAAAATGTTACGTGTGACCTCATCTGCCCAGACTTGCCCACCCAAGCTAAATCCCAAGAGAGATGTTGTCTAAACTTGTCTAGGACTTGCTCAAGTGTTGTCTAGTATTGCTTAAGGCTGTCCGAATCTCTCTGGGTTAGGATTTATTATTTAAAGTGACGTCGTTGTAAGTAGAAGGAGTCATAAACATGCCTGTTTTTCAATATCCCAACGATTTTACGTGTACATGCAAAACATGTAAATCGTGTATCAAATATAAAGAAATTATGGAAGAAGCGGCATGGAATGTCAAGATTAGGAACATAAGAAAAGCGTATGTAGAGAAACGTGTGGAAGAGATTACAAAAAGATTACGAAATTTAAGTCTAAAAGATTCAGCCCAAACTTGCCCAATCTCCCAAGAGGGACCTGTCAATCAAGATCATATATTTTCCTTATAAAAGTGGAGTCGTTGTAGCAGTCAAATCACATTTCTTACTCGCAGAGTGTAAAGCAAGCATCAAGAAAGCAAGATGGAAGATAACAAGACTAAGAAGACATCAAAGAGGGTTCACCCTTATGCCAAGAAAGAGACTTTGAAGAATAAGAAAGAATGGGCTAAGAACAAGTTGAAAGGTAGTCTCGTTATAGATGCACTGCCTATGAAGAACCCAGACTTTGTTGCTAAAGATGTGAAACTACCCAAGTTCGAGGTGGATTATATGAAACCAGAAGTCAAGTCATCTAAGCAAACATCTCCTCTGAAAGAGTTGAACCAGCTGGTGGAAAGTGTTCATAATGACCCATCAACCCTGGAGAAGACTGAAGTATTGGAAGAAGGAGAAATCGTACCTGGCGTAGAAGGTACAGGTACGTTTCATTATTCTTCTCTGGAAGAATTGTTGGACAGTGTGGAAGTCAGTTATCCATGTCCCATCCACCAGACTATGATGGAGGAATTAAAATCTAAAAAAGAAGATTGTGACGATGTATTCCTCCGTTGCTCGTCCGCCCGTTGCCCAGTATTTTGTAATCTCAGTGATTACAACCGTTATTACTATGAATGTCAAAGACAGGGTCACCCCTGGTTCACCCTGGACAGAATCGACAAGATGGTGTGCGAATGTGGAATGACTCCCACATTGTCTTTGACTCAATCAGAAACAAATTATGGCAAAATGTATTTGCGATGCAGTCGACATAACTGTGATCTTTTTACCTGGTGGCGATTTAAACCCAACAAGAGGTCAGTGCAAATTCTTACGGATGGATGTGAATGATTCATTTCAGGACTAGATGTCAAGATGACATTTGCTGATTTATTAGAAGCCCTTTTTCCTTTACTTCAAAGAAAGTAATGAGAGTCAAATGTATTAATTTTTAGGCATAGTGTTCATTCAAACTTTTCTTACACGTGTTTTTTAGTTGTAATTCCAAGTTTTGTTAATTTTTTTTTTTTTGTAGATGGGATAAGTACAGACCATCTTGAAATCGCACGGTTGATGGGTAGAAACACAAAGCTAGATACATTGTCTATGGACGATCATGTTGAAATCGCTTGGTTGATCGGTATGCCTAAGTTTAGAAAATTAGCTAGACGCTTAGGATTGTCGGATAAAGACTTAGAATGTATTAGTCATCATGTACAGTTTTTAGAAGATAATATGGATAAATAAATAAAAGTTGTATCACCGAAAACACTGTGTCATTTGTCTGTGTCAATCATGAGGCGTGTAAGACGGTCACTGATTAAAAGAAGAAAACGCAATCAACGTGGGGGTGCTTCTGTGAGTAGGGTTAAGAAAATTCTTCGTAGAGGTCCCTCTCTTACCGATAAATTAGCTTACGCAGCAAGTATGTTGTTATCGGGTCCTGCACCAGGTTTTGGAACACTTGGTAAACTTCTGGGAAAACAGGCTTTAAAAGGCATTATGGATAATGTCAAGCATTATAAAAAGGGTCGGCGATGAAAAAAAATCACCAGTTCATCATGCTTACCTCGTGGAGTCAATGGCTATGCTACTTGCATTATCGAGTGGTGTCGTGGCTTTGTGATCGCATCCCACATATCGTCTTCGAAGAGGATGAGCCGCATAAAATCCCTTACCAATGGGTTCCCGAAGACATGGAAGTTGAGGTGTTTAAATTTGTCGTGAAACCACACCTACATCCACTACACGACCGTATCTTTCATTTGATGACGTTTATGAGATACTATGATGGGAAGTATACATATAAGACGTGGAATCAATTGTATACGCAGTACCTTCATAAGTATTGGGTCACCTACCATTGTTTCAAACTTTGGTGTCATTTATCATGGTTAAGAACATTAAGAAAGATGTCAAGGACGACTTGTATGACGAACCCGGTGTCGTCGGTAGTTTGGGTGGTGTGGCACCGTATGCCAAAGCTCAAAAGATCTCTATTGCTCAAGGTAAAAAAGAATTAGAGAAAAAATTGGCGTACACGCTTCACAAACCCAGACGTCGACGAGGAGAATTTTTACCTGTGGTGGTGTTCGACATTGATCAACAATGGGTAGCAGATTTGATCGAAGTACAGACCCTATCCAAACAGAACAAGGGATACCGATACGTATTGGTCGTGATCGATGCCTTTTCCAAATACGCGTGGGCCCGGCCGATTAAAAAGAAAACAGGAAAAGATGTGACGGATGCGTTTGCAAAAATACTCAAGGAAGCCAAAGGAAGGAAACCTCAGACGTTACAGACAGATGCAGGCAAAGAATTTTACAATCAGACCTTTCAATCATTGATGAAAACACAGGAGATTCATCACTTTTCTACTCATGGAGATGCCAAAGCCAGTATCGTCGAACGATTTAATAGAACCCTTAAATCGAAATTGTATCGCTATTTCACGGCTGCCAACACACTCAAATATGTAGACATATTGCCCAAACTTGTCAATCAATACAATCGCACCTATCACAGGAGTATTAAAACCACACCAGCTAAAGTCACCACATTCAATGCCAAAGAAGTGTGGAACAATTTGTATGGGAAATATCAGACTAAGAAAGAAAAAAAGCCTGCATTTAAAGTAGGCGATAAAGTCCGATTGAATAAAAAATTTAGACCGTTTAAGAAAGGGTATCTACCAGGATGGACGGAAGAAGTGTTTCAAGTTCGTAAAGTCGTACCCGGAATGGTAACGACCTATAAAGTGCAAGAATTGGATGACACGCCCTTACAAGGCACATTTTATGTGTGGGATTTGCAAAAAGTACATGTAGATGAAGCGACTTATTTTCGAGTGGAAAAAGTATTAAAGAGACAAAAGGATAAATTGTTTGTCAAGTGGAAAGGGTACCCTAGCAAATATAACAGTTGGATTAATAAAAAAGATTTAAAGTGAATTGTGTGTTTGTGGTGATCGCATCATGAGAGGAGGAAGTTTGAGACGCTTTAAAGTGTATGTGCCAAATGAACAAGGAGGTGGTGGTCTCATGCGCTGGCAGACCCCCTCACCTTATGCCCCACCACCTTTTATCGGATCCTGGGGTGATCCTCAAATAGGTGCCGGAGTCAAAGACATGGCTAAAGATTTTTTGAAAGGTGTAACAGGAGGCCTTAAAAGCAGTGTCAAAAAGCGTTCGTTATCAGAAGTGCCGCGAGGTATAAAGAGAGGGGCTTCCCAAGCGCTCAAGAACGAATTGAAGAGAAAAGTTGCCAAGAGGTTGAACGATATTTTTGGAGAATAAAACATGGTCCGCATCAGCACCGTACGTCAAAGTGATCCTATCATTGGTGTAGGCACAACATCACCGACAGATCCTGTGTCTTCCATCTTAAAAAGGTATAAAGGGAGAAGAAGAAAACAACAGCAACGAGGAGGATTTCTCACAAGTCGTATAAAGAAAATAGGAACACGACAACGTGTGCATAAACGCAGAAGACGTTGAAACAGACACATCACCATGTCTATCAAAGGGGCAGAGCAGAATTCAAGTCTAGATCTCTTTAGAATACCACCTACAGATCTTTCTACGGTAAAGTACCGATATGTCAAAATACCACCTCAGACATCTAGTATTACTCCTATCCAAGTGTACGTGGAACGACAATCAGATCTCATCGATCTTTCGAGAAGTTTTATTAGAAGCCCTTTTTCCTTTACCTCAAAGAAAGTCCAACTGGATTTGGGTTTCAAAACCACAGAAAATGCCAGTCTCACAGCACGCGCAAACAATGTGGGTGTGATGACTTCACCAGCCAACAATATTGCACACACCCTCTTCAAGCAAATCAATTTCAGAGCCAATGGTACCTTACTCACCGAACAAGTAGACATGTACCATCTTAAAGCTTTCATACAGACCATCCTTAATTATGACAGGAATGATGGAGAGACGATACTCGAACCAGCTGGATGGCGGAACGAAATTGATTCTCCTGTAACCTACACCGCTGCAAATGTCAAGATGGATGATGACGCGTATACAGCTCTTTCCATAAATCATCAAGAAAGCATCAAGAGACAGAGAGCAGATGCAACAGATTACTATGCAGGAGGAAAGAGGAGAATCTTGAGAATGAAACCGTTTATAGACGCGTTTCACCAAGGAAAATGGATCGTCCCCAAAACTCTTTTGGAATTGGAATTTTATCTGAATCCAGCAGCTTTATTCATGAATGGAGAAGCCAATCCACCCAGTGAGGAGTCCGAGTCAACCCAGAGGATATTAAACTTACCTTCTTTCTATGTCTGGTGTCCCTAAACCCAGCCGTCTACATGAGCATGATGAGTATGATGACCAAAACCCCAACCAAGTATCCCATGATCCGTACCGAGATGAGACAGTTTCCCTTAGACAATGGGGCCACTTCTAAAGAAATCAACAACCCATTCAATGGAAAGGTGCCCCAAAGAGTCATCATTGGTATTCTGAAAACTACTGCATTCAATGGTCAATACAACGAAGACCCCTTGGCCTTTGGAAAATTTGGGGTGGAATACATCAAACAAATTGTGAATGGAGAAGAATACCCATACCATGACGAGCTTTGCTCACCAAAAGAATTTATGCAAATGAGGCTGAGGCGGATCTGAGATCCGCCTGGCAATTATTAACTGTAAGAGAAGAACTGACTTCGCGCCCACAGAACGACCGAGGTGTTGCGGATGAATTTTCAGTAATTACTTTTTTGGCACTTTTCGGCGTCCAAATTACATGGCGAGAGTAACCCAAAACCTTAAAGCAGACCCTTCTTGTCACAATACGAATGTTTTCCAGATAGGGACACGCGTTAATGTCAGCTCCACTCGCGTGATTGCATTTTTCAAGGTTAAACCCTCGCGTGGATCTAACAACTCAAGTTTACTTTAAAGCGCACAATGTAAGCCAAAGTAATTTTATAATTTAACTCCATGATCGAAATTTTGTTTACAAAGGATAATAATGGATCGACATCGACCTAGAGCGTCAGCTTCACTCGCGGGGAGTCAACCAAGTCTCTTGCCCCTTGCGCAACATAGAATGCAAATTTGCTGATCCACTCTATTGATACACACAACTCGACAGTCGTTAAGTGTTGAAAAAGATGAATTTTTTTACCAAAACCATGTGTCTCCGATTTTTAAACGCTAACAAAAATGTAGTAATGGTATGTCCACTCCGGAAAATAATACCGCAAACAACAGCAAGCCCTAACCGCGATGAGAACACTCATGGATCACACAGCGCAACAGAACTCATTTTGTTTGTTTGTTTGGGTTTTTTCCGATAATATTGGCCTGTAAAGAAATATATAATGGAGTTTTTTTGTACCCTCCGCCGGCACCATATAATTGGCTAAATGCTAAGGAAGTAATATACTTTAAAGAGATCATTAAAGGAGTAAAATCTTTAAAAAAATTTTTCCTGCTGGGGTTTCCTGGCGCGCCACTGCGAACACAGCGAACCTCATGTATAAGGCTGCGAGAAAATAAACAAAGACAAATAGAAAAAGTTTTTTACTCACAAATCTCTTTTACAATCTATGACCGATTTTACATCTCGTGTCTGAAGCAAGAGTTGGAAATGTAAATGCAATTTAATACGTTACGAGAAGAGGTATTTTACTCGTTGGTAATTTTATTTCTAAATTCGTTATTTATTTTTAATTGAAAAATCACGGGATTTGAGGACAGACACCACCAAGGCAAACACAACATCGACGTAAAAATTACCAGTCAACGGAAAGTGCACTTATGATGTGTAATTAGGTAAAGGTTGGTTGGTCATCTAAACAGGAAAACTATCTTTTTCATCACGGCTTTTCGCGGTTAACGTTCAATTAAATCTGCAAAGGAAAAAAAATCAAGGCAAGTAAATTTAATTATGTCGCAATTCAAAATTAGTTTGTCAAAGGATGAAAACGCACAGTCTAAAATGAAACAACTCCCAAAGAGAGACAGAACCAAATAAAAAAAAGGAAAGATTTTGCATTCAGATAGCAAAAGTCCAAATAGGACTGACTACCCAAGAGAGACAGAACCAGTTGAAAAAAAAGGGAAAGGTTCTGCCTTCAGATAACAACAGCCCAAATAGGGCTTACTACCCAAGAGAGAGAGACAGAACCAGGTGAAAAAAAAAAGGAAAGGTTCTGCCTTCAGATAACAACAGCCCAAACAGGACTGACTACCCAAGAGAGACAG